TTCTATATCATAATTTCTGCTCTAATCTTTATTATTTCCTGTCTTCTGCTGGTTTTGGGTTTTATTTGCTGTTCTTTTTCCAGCTCCTTAAGGCATAAGGTTAGGTTGTGTATCTGAGATCTTTCTTCCTTTTTTAGGAAGGCCTGGATTCCTATATACTTTCCTCTTATGACCGCCTTTGCTGCATCCCAGAGGTTTTGGGTTGTGGTGTTATCATTTTCATTGACTTCCATATACTTCTTAATTTCCTCTTTAACTGCTTGGTTAGCCCATTCATTCTTTCATAGGATGTTCTCCAGTCTCCAAGTATTTGTTACCTTTCCAATTTTTTTCTTGTGGTTGATTTCGAGTTTCATAGTGTTGTGGTCTTAAAATATGCACGGTATGATCTCGATTTTTTGTATTTGCTGAGGGCCAAATTGTGTCCAAGTATATGGTCTATTCTGGAGAACATTCCATGTGCACTGGAGAAGAATGTATATTCTGCTGCTTTAGGATGAAATGTTCTAAATATACCTGTTAAGTCCACCTGGTCCATTGTGTCATTCAAAGCCATTGTTTCCTTGTTGATTTTTTGATTAGATGATCTGTCCATTGCTGTGAGTGGGGGAGAGACTCCACCTCTTGGTGGAGGAGAGTGACATTGCAAAGGGGAATCAGTACGGGTTGGCATGGGGGGTTACAGCTGTTTTTGCAATCTACCACCATGGCTAGAAGATCCAAGGTCACCTTGGGCAAGCCACTTCTCCTCACTAGATCTCATCTATAAATCCACTTTGATAGTAATAGTTCTCATTTGTTGAATGCTTGTTATGTATGACACTTTATGCTCATGATCTTTTGTCTTCAAATATACCTGATGTGGTATGTATTGCTACCCCTATTTTATAGAGGAGGGAACTGAAGGTCAGAAACATAGAATAATTTAAACTACTTCAGCTCCCACAGCCAGCAGATTTGGAGCTGGGAGTTCAAGCTAGGCCTGTCTGACCCTAAAGTCTGTCTTCAGTAACTCCTCACTATACAGAATCTCTTCCAGCATTGACGTGTATGAAGCTATAATCCTTGATATACAGAGTATAGCTTCTGAGGCACCCTCATGCAGGCAGGACTGGTTACAGGCATGCTAGGACCTTGGTGAGCAGAGGATACCAGGGAGGGAACCAGGGGCACTTAGGTGGGTTCTGGGACTGGCCCTCCAAAGCCAGCTGGGCAGTTCAAAGTACAGAGCTCCAAGGAATTGAGCAGACCTTGGCATGGGGTAGACAAGCGTGTTTCCCCAAGGAGGTCAAACCAGCAGGAGGGGTGGGGTCCTGCTGAAAAGAGATGCTTGGGGGTAGATCATTGTCCTTATCAGCAACTTTGATGGGGACCCACCATAGCTCCAGGCTTCTGACAAGAGTCAGGCCGGGATTCAGGGCCCAAGAGAGCAGATAAAGGGAGAGGGGCAAGGATTCCAGCCTGGCCAGAGCTCATACATTCAAGAACTGTGTACTGAGCACCTGCGATGCACCCAGGGCTCTGCTGAACCCAGCACAGTGAACAGGACAGTCACCAACACTGCCCTCTAATGGAGATGACAGGTAACACACAATGATTGCAGGTTGGAATAAATACAATGGAAGACACAGAGGAGCCATAGGTAGAGAGCTTAAGCAGGGGGAGGGTCTGCCTCTGAAGGGTCAAGAGGGCATTTAAGCTGAGACATGTGGTCCTGGCAAAGGAGACAGCATGTGCAGAGCCCTGGGGTGGGAAGGGGCTTGGCCTGTGCTAGCTGTGGGAAGAGCCTCCCTGAGCAAAGGGCAGGAGGCAGCTGGGCCCGAATTGTGTCGGGCCTTGGGTAAGCATTTGGATTTTATTCTCAGTGAGGGGGAAGCCGTTACAGAGAGTTAGGCTGGGGATGGCATCATCCGATTTCTGTTTTGAGACCACTTTTGCTGCGGTGTGGAGAATGGACTACATGCGGGTGAGAGGGGACATTGGGAGATTGGGTACATGGCTCTATCCCTCCCTGATGCCCAAGTGAAAGACGTGAGGCACTGGGTGAGGTGGGGGTGGGGCAGTGAATGTGGTCCCACTGATGATGGGAAAGATGCCTCTTGACAGTTTCATGGTAATCCTCTATAATCACAACTGAATTCCGTAGCACAGGGAGTTAAGTCTGATTTTCTTTATTGCCACCAATGCTGGACTAATGCCTTCTGGGAACATTGTTGGGGCTTTTTCTCTTCCTAACAAAGTAGGGCTTAGAAAATCCTTTCTGCATTTTAGGACTCTGTATTAGTGTCAGAATATATAACTCTCAATAAAGGAGCAAGATGCTGGGCCTTTGCAGAAGGTACATCCCCAAGGCAGTGTGTATCTAGGGATAGCTCATGATTTCTTAGTTGGATTTATAGGGCTAATTCATGTGCTTCTTGTTGTAAGCTTTATCATTTTATTATTACTGCAAGACTGTGCTGGCTGCCTTCTGTAGGACTTGGCTACCACAGTGATGATCCATATTCTTACTTAATTTCTGATCTATTCATTTGCAAAACGGTCTCAGAATTCGGTTCCAATCTGTTGTCTTAGCTCTTCAGCCTTGTAATTGCTGTGCACACACAAATTCGTTGTATGAAAACCAAGCCCTGTGCAATGTAGGCCAGGAACTGATTTATTAAGAAAATCCTGGCTATTGGCAGTGATGAAGAAATGATGTTAAATGCTCTGCCTCTTGACATCTTAACTCTTGTAGAACAAAAAAACCTTAAGCATCATCTTCTTTGCCAAAATGTATTCTCTGCAGGCAGAGTGCTGAACAACCTGGTAAAGTCAGCAAGTGAAAAGTACTTAAAAGAAAATCATATTTTGGAATGTGCTACTGAAACTTCCAGCTTTTTGGACAACAACCCCTGTGACCAGGCTACCATGAAATACACTGAAGGTGTTCTGATGTAAACACAAATTTTTTTCTTGAAAAATTATTGTTTTCTGTACTAGTTTTTATTGTTAAGATTAATATATATTTTTTTAACATTTATTTGTTTTTGAGAGAAAGAATGTAGCCTGAGTGGGGGAGGGGCAGAGAGAGGAAGACAGAGGATCCGAAGCAGGCTCCACGCTGTCAGCACAGAGCCCGATGTGTGGCTTGAACTCATGAACTGTGAGATCATGACCTGAGCTGCAATCAAGAGTCGGCCTCTTAACCAACTGAACCACCCAGGTGCCCCAAGATTAAGATTTTTAAGCCACACTTGTTAATCCATTTTCCATCTAACTGGGTGAAGAAATGCTGAATGTTAGCATTTCTATCCTGTGCTTCTGTGGTTCTCAACCAGGGGTGACTTTGCTCCTCGGGGCACCTCTGGTAATGTCTGGAGGCATTTGGAGGGGTTCTTACTGACACCTAGTGGGTAGAGGCCAGGATGATGCTACACATTATACAATACACAAGACAGCAACATAGTACCTAGCCCAAGTGTTGATAGTGATCGGGTTGAGAATAGTGTCTAGTTTCTTATAAGATATTCACTTATCTCCTTATAAGTCACTGTGAAGGTCTTGAATCTCTATATTAGAAACTGCTCTGCTGTTCTGTTTCTTTCTGTATAAAATAAAAGATGTTTGTAAGAATTACCTTTGATAGTACAATGAAGTAGCCAATAATATCGTACCCAGTAAAGACACACATGCATTTTATTCTCAGATTTGCTGCTGGAGACACGTCTCTTGCAAAAATGAGACTTCAAGAATGCTTAAATATCAGGAGAAGTTTGGTGAGAAAAATATCCTAGTTGGAGAAATTATGGAATTTTTAGCAGATTTACTATCTTTTCTACCGGAAGAGAGTGAAAGGTAAGTTTATACCAAATGTTCCAAGTAGCGTGTCTTCTCTTCCCCCCCCCCCGCCCCC